GTGGTCCAAGGCTACATAGTGAGTGCATTAGTTTCTGGTGGCTGCTGTAACAAATTATCACAACTGTTATGGCTTAAAACAACAGAAATTTATTCTCTCAGAGTTCTGGAGGTCCAAAGTCCAGAACCAAGGTGTTTTAGGGCTGTTCATCCTCTGGAGACTATAGGGGGAAGATCTGCTTCTTCTCTCTTCATCTTCTGGTGGCTGCTGGCATTCCTGGGCTTCGATCTGCATTGTCCTAGTTTCCACCTGCCTTCACATTGCCTCCCCTCCCCCCATGCTTGTCTCTCTTCTCTGCTGTCCTTCTGTAGCCCCATCCCCCATGGGGGTGAATTTGATTGCATTCTGGAGCTTACTTGGACAATCCAAGGCTCAAGGTCTTTAACTTTGTCACGTGTTTTGCCATAAATTCACTGGTCCTGGGGGTTAAGAAATGAAGGATTTCTTAGAACACTTATTCTGCCTATCACAGTGAGTGAGTGACAGAGCAAGCCTGAGTGACAGCCAGTGCTGCCTATCTTGGGAGCTAGGGGCCTAGCCTCTCAACCTCTTTCCTGGGCTGTGGTGGGGGCGGGGATCAGAGCCACAAAGTGAAGAATGACTGGCCCTTTGACCCACTGCTGAGTACATACTCTGCAAAAACAGTCACCSGGTCCTTAAGACATTCAGATATGCGTGTTCTTTGCCATAACAAAAAACTGAACACTTCCTAAACATGCGTCCAGAGGGGACTGGCTAAATAAACATACATTCCCTAGGTGGAATAGTTAGGCTACCATTCAAAATACTGAAATCCATTGATCTATACTGATRCGAGAAGGTAGTCATGATGTATTATAAAAAGGGAAGAAAAAATAGCCCATCCTGGCCACAATATTGTATGTGCCCATGTGTGTGGCTGTTCAAAATTAAATAAAGTGGAAATTCCGTCTCAGTGGCACCAGCCACATTTCAGGTGCTTGTTAGCTCGTGGGGCCGGTGGCCATGGCATTGGTGAGCTCAGCTGAGGATCACTGCCGTCCTCTCAGAAAGGACTCCTGGGCCCAGCTGTACTCTCTGCTGTTAAGTGGCCCTAAAGAGGCCTTTCGAATGATGTGATAGACTTGGGTGAATATTTGCATTTTTTATAATCAATAAGCACTTGTGCTGTTATCCAAACAGGAGCACACGGGGTTGCCAAAGTAGCAGTCTATTTCTGAAGCTGGTGGTGATTTATTGTCATTCTTTAAATGTGTGTTTATGTGTGCATATGCTTTCCAAGTATGTTTTATAATGAAAATATTTTTTTAAATATACCAGGAAAGAAGACAAAAGGAATCTCTTGGTTAGGCTGGAGCCTCTCAGCTGGGCTGGGTCCTTGACCAACTGGCTTTCCAGGCTTGGCCAGGTCACCTCGCCCTGCTTGGGCCTCATCTGTGGGAGGTTGCCTGCTCTGTCTGCCCTAGGAGGTTGGAGTGAGATTTAGACTCCTGGAGGTATGGGCCTTAGGACATGCATGCTACTAGAATAAAGTCCTGAGGTACCTCAGGCCTGAGAGGCTAGCTGTGAATGTGCTGTGACCACCACAGAGCTCGGAGGCCTCACCTGCCCCCCAGGCACCAGAAGCAGATGGAAGTGTTTCCCTACCATGGTCAGGTCTTGGCGATTTAGAAACAACAAAAATGTTATTTTATTTATTTAGCCAGCGCTTATGAGCACTTGCTATTTGCCTGATACTGAGAGATATATTTGTATATCTACAATCCCGAGGCAGTCATTATTAGCATGCTCATTTCATGTGGAAGAAAATCAGACCTCAGAGAGGCCAAGTAACTTGCCCAAGGCCACCCAGTCAGTAATAAGCAGTCTGAGCTTTCTCCTGTCATTCTTTCTCCTCACTGTTCCTCCTGTCCCCACCAATTGTGGCCATAGAATTCCTTATAGCAGTTTATTTATCTCAGGGGCATGATATGTAATTTTGATATGAGCTTTTTGACTGATGTTCCTAAATTAGTAGCTTTGATTCTGGTTTGATGAGTTTGACAGCATTGCCAAGTGGGAATGGTCTGGAGAGTTGGGCTGATCCTGGCACGGGTCARTGAATCTCCGCCTATTAGCTGTGCCACTGCAGGGAGTTTACTTAACTGCTCTCATCTTCAAATGGCATTTTGTGAGGGGCGAGTAAGTTCACCTGCTGCCACAGCACCTGGCATCATGTCAGGCAGGCAGCTGAAGCTGTCTTCTTATCTTTCTTTTAGGGAGTGAGTTCAGGCTTGGGGTCAGAGGTAAATAAACCCATCTGATCTTTTAGAATTTACAGAATGGCCTCCTAGGGGCCTGGGGAACTTTCTGGATCAGGCATTAGGGAACCTGAGTTCTCTGCACCTTGGAGATCTTGGACAAGTTTCTTTCCTCCTTCGCTCCACTTCTGTCCTGTGTAAGTGGGGCCTGACAGGCTGGACTCTTGGCATTTCCCGATTTGTCATGCTTGCTGGGGACCAGCAACAGGTCCGTTCCTTAGACCTCCTTGCCTGCGCTCCCAGCGCCCTCCTCTGGGGGGCGCTCTGGTGATGCCGCGTGGCTTGGTCCTCAGCTAATATTCCCCCACCACCACCTCCATCCCCCCACCTCCACCGGAGCCATCACTCTTCAACCAGTTGGGATCTGAGAAACAAGTCAGAGGCCACTCTGCTGTGTGGGTCTCTTGCGTGGGAGCTGCAGCCGTCGTCCTTTGGGCTGAAGATCACCCTTGTTTGCAGGGTGGCCCTGTGTACCTGCCACCCAGTGCTTTGCTGGGTCCTGGGAAGGCTGGGAGGAGCCCGGGGAGCGCAAGCCGAGCGTGGAGGGGGTCGGGATTCTCAGAGACCCTCAGAGTCTCAGTGTCCCCGGGGCAAGCGGGTGTTGGGCGGGAAGGTGGAAGGTGAACATGGGGTTGTCCATTCTGCCCACCATYTGCTTCCCTGTGCTAGGACCTTGGAGTGAGAGGCTCCTCCCACACCCCGGGTTTAAGATCCTTGTAAAGGGAGTTAATGTCCTATGATTCCACAGATGAGCCACACTCCACAGGCCCGTTGAAAGAAGGACATCAAGACGAGTCCTGTCTTGACAAAGGGACTTTRCTGGCAAATGAAATCCCCAGAGGGACCCGCTTAAGAATCCTGAAGGAGAATCTGCTTTTTTTTTTTTTTTCATCCTGACTCTGTGGGCATAGGTCTTGAATTCTGTGGCACTTAGGGAGTTACTGAGACCTTCTCAGAAGCTCACAGGCCCATCGTGACTTCCCCTGCATCTCTTGATCAATTTTACTAACCACTGACTCATTCTGAGCAGGGGGTGAAGGGGTGAAGACAATCAGAGAAAATGGTACACAAGACTCCTGTCCTTCAAGAAAAAAGTTAAAAGGCTGGAGCAGCCATGCCTCTTTTGGCCCTTGCTAGGATAGGTGCTTTGTCACTGTGTCTACTGCATACAGACGGCCACTAGTACTTCTCTGCCCTTCCAGTTGTCTCACCCTGGGGCCTGCTCCAGCCGCCTAGCTCCTCTGCCAACCCCAGTGCCTTGTTTGATTTGGACCTGGCCACGTCTGTTCTCTTTCTTCAAAGGCTACGGATGGGGCTGAAAAACTGTCTCCCCCTGCCAACCTGAAGCTTGACACTGTCGGCTGGATCCCGCTTTCATCATTAGTTTCTGGAGCATCCTCAGAGTTAGCTGATGAGAAGGGCGGCTGACACTTCGGGGCTAAGCCGACTACCTTAAGAGAAAAGCAACTACAGATAGAACCTCACAGTGTCTGCTTTTGTCTTTCACTCAGACTTCTTTCAAGTCATGCACTCAGACTCTGGATTCATTAAACAGTGATGTGGAAATTATAGACCTGAAAGTGCCAAGGAGAGGAAGATAGGTCAGGGGGAAATGGCCAGCCCTTGAGGCCCTTGGGTCTGCTGGGCATGACACCTGATCTCATTTCATCTCTCCCCCGAGTCCTGGGAGGTTGGCACTGTCAACGCCTGCGGACTTTAGATTCTGTGTGTCCAAAGTCACACAGCTTGGGAGCGGCCACGTTAAGACTTGAACCCAGGGTCATTCCCTCTAACCACAAAACCATAAAATCTCTCCTGAGCTGCTACAGGGAAACAGTATTCTGGGACCCAGCCCTGCAGAACAAGTTGGATTTAGATAAGTAAGCAAAGAGCAAAAGAAAGACAATTCTGGGCCGGGGCAGGGGGGCGGGGTGGYGATAGATAAGATCTAGAGCCAGGAAACAGGAGTAAGTGTGGAATAATTCCTGGTGGTCATAAGCTCACGGGGCAGGCACGTGGTCTCAGGGCCATCCTTGTATCTCCCAGTGCCCGAGCGAGTGCCTGGTACATATGGGGGCTCAATAAATCTTTATTGCAGAAGGAGCACACAGATAGATATATGCGGATATCTTTTCCATGGACCATGAGTAGAGGCAGGAACTAGGTCTCAGAGACCTTTGGATGCATCCCATCTTACCATGGTTAATCAAGAGTAAGCACTCGGTAGCTCTATCCTGATGAGGAGATGGGTATGAAGGAGGAGGCCCTGGTACTTTGGGAAATACTGAACAATACCTGTAGACCAACAGGACATGTCAAGGAAGGTTTTCCATGCTGGGACGTGAGCCCTTGTGTTCTCCTGAAGGCCTTGTCTTCAAAGCCATCACTTAGAGCACGACACTGTGGGGTCTGCAGAAACCCGGGTGGTGCTCAGAGTGATCCACATGCGTGGGAACCAGAGTCAGGCACAGYGAGGGGTTTTCACGGGACTGCTCTCATGGGCCCTGGGATCACTGCTTTCCCACCCTGGGGTGACCACATGGTTATCACCTAAATAAATAAATAAATAAAGGCTGTAAAAACTTGTGAATGGGAACAAGAGGCAAATAGAGGCTCTTTCTGTTTTCGGGAGAGTTTGGCTGGACAGTCCCAGCCAGCGTCCTGTGAGATGTGGTCTCCTCTGCCCAGGAGTTCTGGATAAAGGCTGCCCYCTCTTTCCAGGTGTTGGCCGAGTCTGTGGTGTTAAGGAAGACTGARGGCCAGGAGGCAGCCCTGGCAGAAGCCCTTCTGTGGGCAGCTGGAACGCTCTGGTCCTACAGGTGAAGCTGACCCGTCACCAGGACTTATGACCCGTGGCCTCACTCCCATCCTGCCCCTCGAGTTCCACAAGATGGGCTCCTTCCGCAGGCCAAGACCGCGCTTCATGAGCTCCCCGGTGCTCAGCGACCTGCCCCGGTTCCAAGCTGCCCGGCAGGCCCTGCAGCTGAGCTCCAACTCAGCCTGGAACAGGTAAAGAGTGCAGGGGTGGGCCGGAGGGCTGCCATGGCCAGGCCAGGACCAGGGGACCTCTGGGGACTGTCTGAGTTTCTGCTGCTTCTGGGATCTCTGCTCTGGAAGGTGGTGGTGATGGATGGGACAAATGACAAAGAGGATGAGCTTCCTGGCATCCCACCCATCTGTGAGCTTGCTTTGTTTGAGGTGATAAAGTAGACTCCTGCATGAGCTTGCTTTGTTTGAGGTGATAAAGTAGACTCCTGCAAGCCCTGGCCTGTCAGAGTCGGTTGACCAGCCAGGACAGTTGGATTGGAATTTACAGTTACTGTCCACGTCCCTCAGTCACACCTAGACGGAGTCATATGTGTCAACCTGCTACCCATTGGTGGAGATTGGACGTGTGYCTGTGAAAAGCTGAGTGATGGCATGAGACAAAGGTTGTCATACCTGCGAGCCACAGGTGCTCAGGAGAGGGGACACCAGGAGCTTTTGGCAGGTGCCCAGCTGACCTTGCACACCAAGCCGGGCTCACCAGTACTGTCTTATGCTTCTGTGGGCTGCTTGGTATCCACACCTATGCAGATACTCTTTGGAGAAATTAAATGCTTTGGTCCTTCAGCACATTACTAAAGTCACATAGTTTGGGTCTGTGTGGAGTTTTTTAATGAGTGGACACAGGAAGCTCAGCTCCACGGATGGGGGTAAAGTGGGGGCTCACAAATGCTTTGGTGCCAAGTGGTCCCCTGTGCTTAAAAACAGGCCCAGATCTCCTGGCACAGACGAGATTATAATCAGCTCCTGGGCTGTCAGAGTAGGCTGTGGTCCCTGAGAATGTGGCCTCAAGCCCTAACTGTGGCCCTTAAGGACCTAACTCTAGTGCCTGTACACCTCGAGGGGACAATAAYAGGCAAGAAGGCTAGCACACAGGAAATTCTCCCAAAGAAAGACAGGGAACCTTGTTTCACATGAACCTCAGGCCGCCAAGCTGTCCTGGGGAGACAGTGGTCCCCTAGCTGAAAGCACCCTGGCTCGGGACAGCTCCTGCAGGCAGCAGGTGCCACTTTGGACTCTCCCAGGCCTAGTGGTGCTGTCCACAGTTTCCTGAGTACAGACCCCACTGCCTGCCCTTTACCTTTGCTGCTCACCAGCAGGCTCTCAGCGGAGCGAGGAAGGAAGACCCACATGACCTGCAAGAAGGTGAGGGCCACTCTTGAGTCCCTTGGGCTTCAGTCATCCTTCTTCCCCAAGGACCCTGAGAAGGACCCTGAGAAGGAAGTGATGGATTCCAGAGAGAGAAGGCTTAGCCATGTTAGTGCCATGGGCTCCCTGGCCCTGCCACCTGCCTTCGGCTCCCAGCCGCTTGTGGAAATGGCCCCGGGAGGCAGATTGTCTAACCAGGAGTTGTCTCTGTTTCTTGCAGTGTCCAGACAGCCGTGATCAACGTTTTCAAAGGGGGCGGCTTGCAAAGCAACGAGCTGTATGTCCTGAATGAAAACATCAGGTATGTGGCCGGACACACCCAGGCCTTGTGGACCTGAGCTGGGGCCTTTGCTTATGTTTTTTGTTTTGTTTTATTTCCTGTTTGGTTCTTGTTGGTTTTTCTCTCAGCTATTATCTTGCTCCCATGGCCGTCGAGTTCTGAGACCCTTATCTGTCTAGACTTATGATCCAGAGAAGGTTCACACATCTAGTGTGTTTTGTGGGGCTGGGGTTAGAGGCTGGTAGATGGTAGCTGTGATTTATTCTGCAAACACTTACTGTGCTCTGCTGAGCCCTTAGGCACCTTAGTAGGCCACGCAACTTGGTGGTTGGAACCAGACTGCTCGGAATTTATTGCCATTCCTCCTTTCCATAAGGAAGTCACCAGCAAACATTCGAATGCCCCACTGATGGCCAGGTACTATAGAGCAAAGACAGATGTGAACCCTGCTTTCCTGAMCTTTCTGTTCAGTTGGGGAGATAATCATTAGTGTCAACTAATCACACATGTAAAATGTCAACGTGTAACAATGAAAGCTGCTTCAACACAGCTGATGTGATCTTGCCAGGGAGGCCAGGGATGRTGGAGGTGATGCTTATGCTGTGATCTGAGGGTCAGCGGCAGTTCACTAGGAAAACAGGGTTCCAGGTGGTGGATGCCGCAGGTGCAAAAGTCCTGTGGTTGCAGTGAGCAAGGAACTGAAAGAGGGCCCATGTGCAGAAAGCACCAGAAGTTGGGTAGTGTGGTTGGGTTTGTGTCTTGAAGTGGGGGCAGAAAATCAGGTGGGGCTCATCAGACTCTGCTAAAGATAGAAGGTTGAACCAGTTGGTCTTTATTTTATATCATTTTATTTTTGAGATGGGGCTCTCTCTATGTTGCCCAGGCTGGCCTTGAACTCATGATCCTGCCACTTCAGCTCTCAGGTAGCTGGGATTACAGGCRTGTGACATTGCGCCTGGCTTCCAGCCCATCTTTTAATGCCCTGGTGTCCGTTTCCCTCTGGGTATGTTAACCCTAGAACGTCAAGGGTAATGACCCCACCCTGGAGTGGGCACAGCAACAGACAGGCCACTGTGGGGCCCTGATTCCATTTAGTTCAGGCCTGTGTTGAGGTCAGTGAGGTGTTTGAAGAGCTCTCCTCTCACTAAAACCTTTGCAGCTCATCAGTAAACAGAGTTGTTTTACATTTCCATCCATGTGCTTGAATTCACATCATAATTACATAAATGTGAAAAGAGACAGAGGAAAGAGAATCCAGCCAAGGCCTCATTTTATTGGGGAGGAAACTGAGGCCTGAGAAGGTAAGCGATAGGGGCAGAGCTGGTCACCCACCCCGTTGCAAGGGCTCATTTTACTCCAAGGACTGAGAGTCTGGCCTTTCCTAAGGTTCTTCAGCTCCCAATAGAAGTATAAATAAATAAAACAGTGACTTAGGAATGTGCTAATTGTTCCTCACTTTGGGAGACTGATCCTGAAATTGTACTTAAAAGCTCTATTTATGAGCAGCAAGGAAAAGTCCAGGCCATGCCAGATTTCACCAGCTCTGGGATCTCTTGAGGTGCCAAGCATGTCTTGTAAATGGGTGGAGCTGGCCTGGGTGCATGGAGCGGGGTCCTGCCCTTGGTCCAGAGGGGATTCTCCTGTGGGAACCTAGGTCCAGTGATGTTTCATCTTATTTCTCAAGAAGAACCGGAAATTGAGATTTTTATGTGAAATTTCCTGACTTTCAAGTGTTCGTAAATAGTCCAAATTTCTCCAAACATTGATGCAGGCCAAACAAAATACATCTGTGGGCTGAGTGTGGCCAACAAGCTACCCGTTGCATAAGGTGCCAGGGGYGGCTTTGCTGGTGGGGGTGCTGTGTCCCAGACAGCTCCAGACACCAGCACATCCAGCCCTTTGTTATCAGTGGTTTGCAGACAAGAAGATTGTGGATGACAGAAATGAAATAGCTTGTCCAGGGTCACACAGCTGTAGAGCTGRGGTCAGGATGTGGTCACCTGCCTGACTTCGGCACCTGTATGAGTGTCTCATTCTGCTACAACGTATTCCGAAGACCGGGTGGATGAAGCAGCAGAAGTTTTTTCTTGATGTTCTGGAGGCTGGGAAGTCCAAGATCAAGTTACTGGCCAATTCGGGACCTGGGGGACGGTCCACTTACTGTCTCTTGGGGGGCTACCATCTCACTGGAGAGAGAGGAAGTTCTTTGGTGTCCCTTCCTATAAGGACACTAGTCCAGCATGATGGCCATGCACTCAGGACCCCCCTCTGAACCCAATCGCTTCCCAARGTGATTTGGAGGCGGGGACCTCTGAATGCCATTCCACTGGGAGTTAGGGCTTCAACACAGGAGTCTGAGGGGAACATGGTTCAGTCCATGGCCCGACTCTTGCTCGAGTCTTGTAGAGTTGGTGGGAAGCTGGTTAAGCTGATGGTTCCTGGTTTTTCTTTCTGCCTTCATTCCTTTTATGAGGCCTCTGTGAGCCTGTCTCTCGTTGCGTGCCGATTCTGGGACCTGGGGGAGGTCCTCCTCCAGCCTCCTGTTATGGTTTAGATATGGCGTGTCCCCCAAAACCTCCAGTGTTAAGGCAGGAATATTCAGAGGTAAATGATTGGATTAGAAGAGCTGTGACTTAATCAGTCCATCCTAGTTTAAATGGACTAACACGGTGGTCATTRTAGGCAGGAGGGGCACGGCCAGAGGTGGTGAGTCACTGGGGTTGTAACCTGCAAGGGTTCATCTTCCCTGTGGCTCCTGCTCACCTCTTCTCTGCCTCCTGACTTCTTGAGCTGAGCTTTCTTCTGCCAAAATGCTCACACCATGATGTTCTGCCACAYCCTGGGCCCYGAGCAATGGAATCGGCTGACCATGGACTGAAACCATGAACGGAAATAAACTTTTCCTCCTCTAAGTTGTTCTCATTGGCATTTTGATCTCAGTGGCAAAAATCTGACTAATGCTTCTCCTTTCCAGTGTTGGGGTACCACTGGATGCACCTCTGTGTTTTGATTTTCAGACTGGTGGGAACTACGGATGGTTGGGTTGATGCTATCTGGACATATAGGAATTGAGCCCAGAATAAGTCATTGCCTTTAGAAACCAGGGCTTGGRCTTCCTTTGCATCTGGGCCTTCCATCCTCTGGCCTTCTCTTCCAGAGTGGCTCAAGTAGAGATAGGTTTTACATCACAGGGCCTCAGAGTATAACTGGGAACCCGCCCTAGATGGGACCTGGATGTCTCAGGATGCATACRGCAACCTGAACCACATGTGCCCCCACATCTGCAAGTACTTCTGTGGGAATAAACACAGCTGCCCGCTTTTCAGGATCTAAAACACTGAAGCGAACATGCTCTCTGGACATATTATAATGGATGCTTTGGTTTGGGCTTGTCCTTTTGCAGAATAGATCCATAATCAGGCTGAAGCATGAGGATGGAGACACAGGACAGTGGGAAAGTCTGAAAATGTGGAAGGAGCGAAGGCTAAGTTGTTCCCGAGCTTATTTTTCAATCCATTGTGACAGCCCTGCTATGTGCCAGAAGGTCTCTCTTCAGTAGAATGTTTTCATTGAAGAGAGCAATTTCTGACTCAGATCCTGGGGCTCAATAGTGGTTTATCCATGTGACCTTGGACAAATTGCTTTATTTTCCTGTCTTTTTTTTCCCCCTCTGGAAAAATGAGGAGGATAAAAAAATGGCACCAACCTCATGGTGGAGGAAGAATTGAGACACTGAAGTGTCCCTAGTAGAGGACCCAGTGCAAAATAAATGGTTACTAAATGCTAGTCATTATTATTCTTATTATTGGGAACACTTAGGAACAATAAAGTGACACACAATACTCATGTGGGCACAATTACTGTGACTAATTGCCTCATGAATAGCACCACATAAAGACTTCCCCAGCAGTTTGGATGAGGTGAGCTCACTTTGAACCAGGGAGTCAGACGGGCTCCGTCAAGAGTGTTCTTGGAATTGAAGCTTGGGTGAGGCGAGGTTCTTACAAGGAGAGCCAGCGTCTTCTCATTTCTGCAGAGACAAGAGGAAATGCCTCTCTCAGTTCTCGGTGCTACTCAAGCCAGACGGTAATAAACTTTTTGATGGTTTATCCAAGTCCAGTGTCAAAGCTGAATCATCTTCTCCCATCACCTGTCCCAGCCAACCCTTCTAACTRCCGACTTAGGATGGACCAGGGAGTGTGAATTTATGTAAAGGTTAGCCCAGGCAGAGGAGAGCTGGGAAGGCAGACGTTTTGTGTAACTGGGTCTTGTACTGTATTCATTACAAAAATGGACCTTTTCTCTTCAAATCTGTCATTGAGAACGAACTCTGATTTGTATTTTAGCAGATAACCTTCAAGATAGCTATGAGGAAGAGCTTTGGACTGAGGATAGTCAAGTTCTGGAATGGAATATTGAATTTAGAGACAAGTGTTTCCACACTTGGAGAATAAATCCATCAGAAACCTTACCCCTCAACAACATGGTGGCCAGTTTTCCCCAAATAAAAATCAAGGGTACATGGTCTGTSGATATGAAAACCATAAATTAGAATATTTTCTACTGAAACTACCTTAGGAAGCAGAGTTTGCTTGATGTTATGTCCCTAAAGTCAAGCAAGTGACCTTTCCAAGTAGACACGTTCTGTGAAATCGCCAGTCATCACAATCCACCACTCTGACTCCCCTGAGTTCCATCAGCCTGGACTTGGGCTGGTCCTGTGCACTCCTGTGTGGATTCTCTTTGGGCCTTGATATGGTTCTTAACACCCTTCTGCAGCCTCACCTCTGATGTGGCCACTGTTGGCTGGGGCCAGGTCTGGCTTCRAGGTGGGGCCTCCAGTTAACTGGGGGTGGCTGAACTTTGACACAGGGACCTCGCTCTTCCTAAACTGGCACCTCTGCTGCTGACTGATGTGACCAGGAAGAGTTAGAAAAGCATGGGAAGAATTATGCCAACCGGTTCTAGTGAGAAGCTCTGCACATAGGTGGTTAGGGGTGCCTTCCCTTTTTGATTGGTTG